TGAGAGAGATAGAGAGAGAGAGAGAGAGAGAGAGAGAGAGAGAGAGAGAGAGAGAGAGAGAGAGAGAGAGAGAGAGAGAGAGAGAGAGAGAGAGGTTTTGGGTCCTCTACCACATGTATGTCTGTCTCTAGGCCGAAAATCTGATATTCATTAGTGATCGACGTCTTGCTGTCATTGTATAGCATATATGACTAATACTCAGCAAAAGCTGCATGATGACCTACTTGTCCTGTCCTTCTATATTTAAAAACAAATCACATTTCAATTAGGCCTAGACAAATGTAAACAGTTTAGTAGAAGAAAAACTGAAGGAATCGTAATATTTATATCATTATTTTAGTTTTAATTTTTGTTTCAAAAATAAAAGTTGGAACCGTAGGCTTATTCACTTCCTCACTTTTTGGTATTCACTTTGATTTATCATTATTATGCTCACCAATGTTGTAATAGGCAAAGGTGAATAATATTGCATAATCCATGGGAATGGCAAAATTTCAAATTCTTTTTTAAAATAATTTTTTTAAATGTTAAAATGCAAACCTTTTCCAACCATTCATTTCTTGAAATTCATCATTACCATGCCCATAAACATTGCTATTGACGAAATAACATGCGTTTGCATGTATCACGAATACGTATTATAACTATGTAGTAGGTCTAAAGCAGACCTGTGTACTTTTATCATATTGACGACCAATTTAGGTGTCTTTTGCGGCTATACGTTGAGGCCAATGATCAGAACAACAATTTTAAGAGAACGGTATAAAAAAATAATTTTCGCAGCCAATGTGGGTGAGGGAGGTTGGTCTCCGAACAAAATAATTACGTCACCAGCACGCAAAGGCTAGTGTGCTGTTACTAGGTTAATTATTAATACAGTGATATCTTGCAAGCTATTCATGAAAACACAAAGCATTAGTATTACGAAAACAGCGAACATTGTGGTGATATTTTTATAGCCTCAATGACATATATTTAGGTGGCTGATGGCTATATTAGAGCCACAATAATTATTGTAGGTATATGTTCTAGGTTGTAATTATATTATAAAGGCAAAGGGCACTCAAGGGTCTATTTGGCATTAATCCCCCCCCCCCTAATTTTTGCCAAATTTTCTCCTACAATACTAATTTAAATAAAAATAATTGTAAAGCAATTTAAATTACTTTGAAATTAAAATTGTAAAATCCAAAGTATTCATTGGATCAAGGGTCTCAAACTGAAATCACCGGGGGGGGGGGGCGCAGGAGGGGGAGTCTAAGTGAGACTGCATCAAGTATTTCACAAAAAAGGGATTACAAATTCATTATAGTACAAATGTTACAATCTGCTTAACCTTTATAAATGACATATTTAAATAAAAATAATTGTAAAGCAATTTAAATTACTTTGAAATTAAAATTGTAAAATCCAAAGTATTCATTGGATCAAGGGTCTCAAACTGAAATCACCGGGGGGGGGGGGGCGCAGGAGGTGGAGTCTAAGTGAGACTGCATCAAGTATTTCACAAAAAAGTGATTACAAATTCATTATAGTACAAATGTTACAATCTGCTTAACCTTTATAAATGACAAATAAAAACATTAAGGGCTCTGAAGAACTAGGATTCACTTTCTTCCATCTACTCACTGTTGCCAGAGCATTGGCAGCGCTTCATTTTACACAGCTGAGAAACTTTAGCAGCTTTGGTTTGAGTGAGGAAGCAATTGAGACCCTCAGTATAGCTTGAACATTTTTTTCAGAAAGTTTTGCCCTGAACTTTTAGTTGTTAAGGAGCATAGTGAAAAAGAGCTTTTCACACAGATAGGTACTCCGAAAAAGTCATATTATCCGCATGAACAACCTAAAAATTTCAGGAAAGGTGGAGGGCAATGCAATAAAATACCCATGCTTGTCTGTTTTTCCATTCAGCTACCCACGCGGGCATCTTGCACATTAAAGGAGAAAGGGTCAGCAAAAAGCTGAAAAGTGGCTGTCTGTGTTTTAAAGTTTAAAAAATTTGATCAAATTTTTCTGCAGCTTTGCAATGGCATCAGTATACATAAGTAGCTACTGAATGCTGTCCCCGAGTCCATGAGTACTTTGCATGATGGGAAATGGAAGAGGTTTCTCTAAGAATCATAACACACGTTTTGTGCAGAATGCCCTGACATTGCCATAGGCAACACTGACAAGCTGCCCCTGGTCTTACTACTGAATGGTGTGCCCGAGTCCATGAATACTTTGCATGTTGGGAAATGGAAGAAGTTCTCAGAGAACCATAACACAAGTTTTGTGCAGAATGCCCTGACATTGCCATAGGCAACACTGACAAGCTGACCCTGATCTTGTAACTTCTTGTCGAGTACATTCAGCTCCTGTGTAATTTCAACAAGTCCATGAGCCATTTTTTATCACATGAACAACAACCCCATACTTCTCCATGAAGGCTTTAAATGCTAAATCGTGTCAAGCAGTAGGCAGGAGCAGGCCATATTTATGAATTATTGATGCGAAGGAAGCAGCAATTGCAGGTTGAATGATTTTCGTCTTTTTATCGTAGTAAAGGCCTTTTTGACTAACCCTATTGTAAAAGATAATCCTACTATATGGAGCAGAAACTTGGAAAACAATGGTGAGCATTACGCAGAAAGTACAGACCTTCATAAACACTTGCTTTAGAAAGATCATGAAAATCAAATGGCAAAATATTATCAAAACAAAGATCTACTAGAAAGGACTCACCAGGTGCTCATCGACGAAGACATCTTAAAATAAAAGATGGAGATGGATAGGACATACTCTCCGAAAACCCCCAGATACCATCACCAGACAATTCCTAACATGGAATCCACAGGGACAAAGAAATAGAAGAAGGCC